CTAGTAAATTTTTGATTGTGTAAAGTAAGTATTTTGGTGTATTAAGTTTATGTAGTTTGTAAAGTAGTCCTTTGTGCCAGACACTGTCAAAGGCCCTGTCAATGTCCATGAACAGACAGGCTGTTTTGTTGCCGTTGAGGTGCGTTGTTTGTATGTTGTTAGTTAAAATAGAAAGTGGGTGTATAGTCGAGTTTTTTGGTTTAAAACCAAACTGGTATGGTGGTATGTGCTGTCCAATCTGTTCTTGAAGTCTGTTTTTTTATTATGAGTTCGAGTAATTTGTTTAGTACTGGAAGTAGTGTAATAGGTGTGTAATTTTGAGTTTTCGTGTTATCGAGTCCATTTTTTGGAATGGGTATGATTATACCTGTTTTCCGTGAGTCCGGGATATTCTTGTGTCGAATGCAGTTGTTTAGTGAGTCTAGTATAAGTTTGTGAGTTTCGGAAGTTAAGTTTTTCAATAGTTTACTTTTAATTTTGTATATTCCTGGTGCGGTGTTCTTTAAGTTAGTCAGTGCTTTATCGTATTCATCGTCAGAGATTAGCGGAAAAGAATTGTCTGTTTGGTTGTCAAAATAATTGTTATACCAGTCATTTACTGAGTTCCAATTTTGGTCGTCAAAGTTAGGGTTAGTAGACGTTTGGAAAGCCTTCTGAAAGTGTCTGGCAAATGCGTTAGCTTTGTCTTCGTCTGTGTATTGTTCGGTGCCATTTTCGTTTATTGTCCCTAGTGGATTAGTTTTTTGTAACATGATAGTTTTTAAATTTTCTGCCAGTATGTTTTTCCGTTGTCATGTTCGATTTCCTGGCACGCTTGCAGCCATTTGTCTTGTCTGTATTGACTGATTAAAGTCTTGACGTTTCTGTTGAGTTCGTTAAGTTTTCTTTTAAATTATTGTCTTGTGTGTGCGTATACAGTCTGTACAGTTCTCTTTTTCGTTTGATCAGTCTCACTATGAATTTTGGCAGAGTATGTTGGTAGAAAGTGTTTCTTACCCGTGGAGAAAACTTTTCTACTGCCAATGTCAATTGTTCTTGTAAGTCTTCTATAGAAGGT